AAAGGTAAATAAAATCGGGTATCTAGCCTGTGTCGTTTCAAAGTCTTTGTGAGCCATTTTGGTCCAGATGTGCTTGTTCTGCAAGACCCAGTTCTTCAAGAGGCGGTTATCCATATTCAGTAAAATGTCACGTGAGTTGAGTACTAGAGCGCCTCTAATTTTGACAGGGACATCGTTCACGTTCGCGTCTAATGCGGCTAGGGTTGAGTTAATGCTTCGTACGATTTCCGGGCTCCTCATGCCTTTGAAGGGTTCTAATCCGGGGGCTTTGTGTATGATCAGAGTGGCCGCTCTAAAGTTGTTGATTTCTGCGTTCTTAGGAGGAGGCTTTGGGCCAGTGGGTTGTGTTCGTTTCGGGTAAGGATTAATCCAAGCGTTTGGTCTGGTTGTTTGGTGGCCAGAAGAAGGGGGCAGTTGCGGTTGAATGATCGTACGTGGGCTCGTTGTTGGTTCCTTGTTTCTTTCGGCTTCTAGTTTGTCGATCTTATCATTCAAATTTTTAATGGTCTCCATAAACATTGACAGCATTTGGATCACTGTACGTAAGAGCGCATCGGTTGAGCTCGAGCTGTTGTTAGCTAAGGACGTGAGCACATCCTCCATAGCGTTTGGGTCCATTGGTCCTTGGTTTGGCCTCGGATTTTTCGGGTGAGGCGATGGATTATCCTCATCGATGCCCGGCGGGCGTTTCGATGGCATTCTAGGGCTAGTCGAGGTGTGTTTTTTGGGGGTTTGGGTTGATAAACGATGAAAAATTCTGAATTTACAATGTGATCCCAGGCCGAGACACTCCAAGTCAGCCGAGCCTCGACGATCGCCCAGTCGGTTCTGGCTTTCCCGAATCCAGACCCCAGGAGTTCTCTGGTCCGCCCGAGCTTCAATGGGGTTGTCCGCCGGTTATCCGGTGGCGGCAAGGAGAGATCTGCCAATTCTGCCAATGCCATGATCCATCTGAACTCAACAAGCCGTCAACAACGTCCCTCACCTTCGCCTCACGAGGCTATGATGATGCCAAATTTTAAACAGCCCTTCTCTCACATGGCCTTGAGAAAGGCACTGACGAACCCATACATCAATGCAGAGATCACACGAGATGATTCTCACAAGAATCGCGGGTTCAGAAATAAGATGAAAGAGATTTCACGTGAGTGTGAATCCCATATTGGGGAACACACTTTATTGATCAATGAGATCAAATCATCAGAAAGAAAGAAAACACCGCATTGGGAAAAGTCGTACGACTTTTCCGAAGGCGCATGACTACTCCAAAGGACTCTTCCAGAGGCGTCTTAACAAAGTCAAGGAATAAAAGGAGCAAAGAGAGTGCGATCGGGTGCACCGTACGTTTGCTTTTGACGAGCTCTTCATAATGATCCATGGGTGATCGCGGAAGCTCTTTGGAGAAGGGCTTTGATGAATGCTTTTCTCGAAGACTTTTCGCGAGGAATCTTGCACCAGAATAAGTCCCTAAAAGCCTCGAGTCACACACAACAGTCCTTGCATTTTGCGACTTGCTTTTGTTACCAAGCGAGGTACATGCATTTTTCGGACTTGTGTACCTTTGTCAACAAAAGCTGTCCGGCTCGCGAGGTGTACTACACAACTGCAACTGCCAGACTCGCGCCTATATAAGGCGTCGGCACCCCGTGGTGAATTGCTACCTCAAACAACTCAACTATCGCTCAATCCCTCACCCTATCCACCAACAATCATCCAAAACACCTTGAGCTATTTGCTTCAATCCATCGTCATATCAATATGTCACCCACTACCACCACCTCTAACTTCGCGACTCAATCCAGGGATGCCGATGTAAATAGTCCCGCCACTGCTTCCAACGGACGACGGGGGCAAATTGGGAATGGTTCTCATGTATGCGTCGTTGCCAAACAGATTGGAAATGGCTCGCACGTCTGCACCGTCTCCAAAGCCGAACATGAAGCCGAGACGTCAGTGGTCCCCTCAAAACAGATAGGCAACGGCTCTCACGTTTGCAACATCAATTAGGACACCAGCTTGTGCTATTCAAATGAACACCCGAGGTCTTGCGAGTAGGTTCTTCTGAAACAGTGAAAACCGTCTTTGTTCGGGCTTGATGGCTGAAACCAAGTTCTTCACTTCCCTCATCGAATTGACAGGTTCATTTACCCGTTGGATATTCAAGTTGTGACTTTACACTCTAACTATCATGTATGACCAACACGCTAATTGAACAACTGTGCCACCGCATCTTGAGTTTCCATTGCAAGGCGAGAGCCTATTTTTGCTTTGTAGCATGCGAGTAAAGTACAAGAGCCAAATCCCTGCTGCCGCTACCACATCCATCAGCCTACCTCATTGAGAGCCAGGTGCAAATTGCCCCTTGCTAGCTGCGCTTACTAATATCTGTCGTTGTGCCTTCCCCCCCAATACCACATCAAAATCACGGACCCGCCATCTCTCTGCTTGAGGAAGATGTTGTCTTTGTGCCTACTCTCTTGTAGTCCAGGTGATACACTTAGATGTGGACAAGCGCCTATAATCAAACTGACTCCGCATTATCTGATCCATTGCAATCATGTTCCTCTATCTTATCATACAACACGTATCAACAAAGCACTATGTGTGCGTATGTTTGTCCCCCATTCTGTAAGCTTCGACGAGGAAAGAAAACACGCAACTGGGTGGCCCTCCTACAATCGCAGGTTGCAAACCCCAATCATGATTTACTTGAACAAAGACCGGGCAAATGCGAGAGGTGTCATTTGATTTTGCTCTCATTAATGACTAGAGCGTCAGCCGCAGGTGCCAACTTTTACCATCATTCTTCTAGTTGAGAAAGACCGTGCCATGTGTATTGTGGTCGGGGAATCAACAAAGATTGATCTTTTTTGAAAATCTCGTCACGGTGCAAAACCAGGACCCCGGAATGCGCCTACTAAGGGTAGTCTATTGGAAACATACGTTTTGAGCTCCCGCGGAGCTCCGCCCCTGCTAAGCTGCTAAGTCCCTTCCTACCTTCACCCATAGTTCCAAGAGTGGCCTAATCTTTCCTCGGACATTCTTAAGGCCTCTCACAACCTTTCACAACCTTTCACAACTGCTTTCGCGACTATGAAACTAGACAGACCAATGCGAACAGAAGAACTTAACTTGTGGGGATGACTCTGGAGACTACTAGAGAATGATTTGGTTTTATAGGTTGTTACTAGATAATAGGCGGCCAGCCGCCACACAGTATTAATCATGCATTTGCGAGTGTCACGACCCGCATTCGCATACAATCCGCATCGTGTGCGCTCCTAATCTCAACGTTACAGAACGTATGAATCATGCCTGAACGTCCCGAAATTTAATAATCTTCTTATTGTCGCCAGCGACCACATGTCTTTTCATTTCCAATCTACTCCCAATGCAATGGAAGCTTGATCTTCTAAATGTTTAGACCGATTGGCACATTCGAATTGCATATAACAATCTCAGCTAATAACATGTGAACATATATCTATTAGGTTAAGTTGTCGATCTACATTCAGTGCATTACCTCAATATTGCTGAGCTACTGTCCTCCTATATCGCTACAGAACAATTGAGCCTCATTATCATTATCCATATACCTACGATTGCTGCCGTTGTATAATTTCAATTGACTATATAGTATGTGTGGACGGTGCAATTCCACACTTGTGACCCACTCAAAATGCGAAATTCAACCAATGATCAATTTAAGTTAATAAATGGACGCTCACGTTGATGACCCATATGTTCATCTCCTTCGAGTATTCCATTACAATACCTTCCAAGTTTAACAACGCTCCTATTTGCCTTGTGTCGTCATGGACATCTGCATCCGCGCCGAGTGCGTTCGCATAGATTGCATTGAACTCCAAGACAATACCTAATTGCATTGCCATGTCAGCTAAGCGCGATTAATTACAAAAGCAATCACTCACGGTAGGAGCCCAAGTGTCATAGACGTTGTTCTGTTGTTAGGGCACGGTTAGGAACCTTTTTAGTTAATTAGGTATTCTCAACTTAGCCGTTATTTTATTTTTAGTTTTCTTTCTTAGTTTGTTTGATGAGTTATTTTCTGTTTTGCATTACGTGCTTGTAAAGGTGATTTGTGCCTGATTATATTTTGGTTTTTCTTATATTGTTTTCTCGATTTTGACTTTTACTTTTCTCTTTTTCTTTATCGAAATTATTATTATCTTTCCTTCCTTTTTAGAAATTCATATTACCAAGACCAGACCAGGACGGGTTCAATCGTCTAAGACCAGACTTGTATTAATATACAAGGCAGAGCATCACATTTTAATTTCAATCTTTAAACCTTCAAGATTTTAAAATCTACAAGTTTTTGAATTTTTTTTTTCATTTACTTTTATGATTAGTATTAATTCATTTCATCACGCATTTCGTCAATTATATATTCATCCTGTTTCTATCTCAGTTGAAGAACTTCGGGAATTATTTAGAGAATTACCTTATTTCGAATTTCCTGAAGAAAATCCCTTTTCAAATTTCAATTATAGAGAATCGTTTATCAATTTGTTGTGTATTGAATATATTGAATCAATCCATCTTCTAAGACATCGTTTAGGAGAAAGTTCACCGGATACTTCAATTTTTCCAGACAACGAAGAGTAAGATGGATCCTTGGGGTGAGCCAAGAACTGGTAATACTGATATCTCATCGTTATTTGACATGGAAAGTGTACGACCTGATCCTCCTCGGCCACAAACTCCTGAAGAAGTTTGATTGTTGCAAGATCAAGTACAGCAATTACAACTTCAATTATCCAAATCTCAGATGAATACCTTAAGAGCTCAAAATGAAAATCAAGGTGTTCCACACGTGACCGTTGAAGATTTGACTCAAGGACTTAATGGAATAAATATCGAAAGAGATTTACCTCCTCATCAGCAAGCACCATCGTTTCTTAATCAACCTCAACCATCTTTTACTGTTCCTCCAATTTTTTCTCATCCTTTGTTTAATCAACAACCTCCTTTTCCTCAATTTAATCAACCTCCTCAATTTAATCAACCACCTCCTCATTTTAATCAACCTCCGCCTCCTCAGTTTAATAGATCTTTTACTCCGCAACAGTTTAATCAAATACCGCAATATCAACAAAGTGCTTTATTTGGTCATCCTGTTCCTCCACCAATAAATACTCAAGTTCCAAATTATTCGCAACCTGTTCATCCTCAACCACATTATGAACCACGACCGCATACATCAGTTCCTCAGTATGCTGAGTTTCAAAACTTCAGGCCACCTTATCAACCTCCAAGTGCTAATTCTAATTCAGCTCAAATTGTTCAAACTCCTCGTTTTCGAAATAATGTTCGTTTTAACGGTACTGCTGCGCATTTAAAATCATTTTTTCAAGATTTTTTTTAGGAAATGCGTGAGAACGAATCTTATTTTTCGAACAAGGATGACAAATTCAAGATCAATTGGCTGTCAACCTTATTTGAACCACGATCGACTGCAAGTAATTGGTTTATGTCGTTATTGGAATCAAATGCAGCAGAAAGTGGTGTTTTTGATGGGTTTGATGATCTTAAGGCGTTGCCGTACAAATTAGGTCCATTGCAGTCTTTTTCTTTATTTTTACGAGAAATGAGAATTATTTTTGCCGATAAGAACGAAGATAGGACAAATCATAAGAAGCTGGATGAATGTCGACAAGGTTCTCACTCAATTATCGACTACAATTCAAGATTTTTATCTGTCGTTATTCGTGTCAGTATATCGAAAGAAGATGCTATCATCAAGTACGTCAAAGGTTTGGATCCCGACATAGTTGCCGAAGCTTGTCGATTACCGAATTGGACTAGATCAAATGTCTTACAAGAAAAGATGAATTTGGCTGTTTTAGCGGCGGAAATTGTTCAAGAGATGTCAGATATGTTACCTTCAAGCCATCCATCTTATGTCAAGAAGATTCACAAACCAGACTCTCAGCATGTTCATCAATATTGACCTACTCATGTGCAAGTCCATCGACCTGATCAAGCTACGCCAATGGATATTGATTCGATCGATTTAGGAGCAAACAAGAAGAAACCGTCAATTTTTTCAGATTATGAATGCTTGTAAGGAACGCAAGATCTGCGCAAGATGTCTTAAAGCTTATGATTTACAAGGATCACATGCGAAAGGAGTCTGTCCAAATCAAAATAAAACCTTACAAGGAAAATTACAATTTTTGAACATTAAGTCGGTTTTGCAAGTCAATGTCGAACGTCAAGTTGAAGGTCCAAGTCAAATTCATTCAGAAGAGTTCAACATTAATTCAATTGCGTTTATTAATTCATCAGAAGAAGAAGATTTGGCAACCAATGGTCTTCTTGCGGATTATTTTTCAGACATGAATGAGGTTATGTTTCAGGATGAGATGCAACAAGAGGTACAGTTTGATATCAGTTCAATCAGAATTGATACCAGTCAAACTGCTAATGGCAAGTTCATTGTACCATTTACCCTTTCAAATGATGGATCTCCAGTTGCAGTGATGGCGTTGATCGATACAGGTGCAATGGCAGATCTCATTAGTCAAGATTTAGTCAACAAACATCGGATTTCGACTATATCTCGCGAACCAATGCGTTGTTTTGGATTTGATGGATCGGCTGGAGCAAGTGGTGTGATAGATAGAGAATTGTGCGGAACATTAACGGCTATTTCAAATTCATCATCGCTGGTTAAATTATCAGAAAAGTTGGGAGTTACTTCAATTCACGGACAAGATTATTATTCTAGGCTTACCGTGGATGAAAAGTGTTGGAGCTTCAGCAATTTGTCATGAAACTGGTGTTTATTTAACTATTGGTGGTGTAGTTGTTGCGGCATTGACCGGTTCTGAGTTATCTGTAGATTCTTGTAAGTCAGGATCTGTCGCATCTGGTTTCTTTTTCTGGTTTCTTCCACTACAGCAACAGCAACAGATCAATGTGATGGCGAAATTATCCAAGAATCGGATCCACTATATATACTCGAGAGACCATCTCTCCATCGAGAATCCTATCCTTAATTCTCCATCATCCATTCCTGACAAGTCTCTTCCTATCAATCTACCGAGCAGTTGTTTTAAATACTCACATGTTTTTTTCCACAGGATTTTGACTTCCCCCCCATCGCTCTT